GTCTTGCCACTCGCTATAAAGTTCGAGACTGGGCATGAGCAGGAGTATCACGTGACACCGAGAGCAACGCTGATTGGATAGACGTGGTAGTGACGTCTTTGCCTCCCCATCTCACCTGTGTCCGAACAAGCCAAACTACCCAACCACCGCTTCACCACTCTGTATAACGGGGCAGCGACGCTGCGGTGACGTTATCGCCACCGCTCTGTGCGTTGCCTGTCTTATGTACTACAGCCTTAAAATTTGGTATACAGAAAAACTATCTAATTGAAAGATGGTATCCATTTACGAGCTTGATTAACTGTGGTTTGTAAGATTGGCTTCAATTTTGACTAGAATTCACAATGTTGATATTATAATGTATTACTGTGTTTCGATAACTAATTACGCTAGTCCATCAACAGTAAAATGTCTTGATACAGAACTCGGTATTAAACAAAGGAACTAGATTGGAGGAATAAGTGTGTCAAGGTAATGTACAATAATCTGTAGTGAAACAAAAATTGGTAAAAATATAAGATAAACTTTCAAAATATTAATATGAAATGGGAGAACAATTATCTTACAGTACAAAGAGCGACTAGTGTGTCATTACTCCTGAGTTCAGGTCTCGACTCCCTTAATACGCAGTGATTCTAGAAGTCTTAAATCAAGTTCATGAAACATTAAACATTGCTATTATTCCGGAATCCTTTATATTTTAATGATTATTTAATCCATGTACGTACACACGCTTTCTTCTTAAAGAGTTAGATGGTTCGCTCATCTGGCACGAAACAATCGCTTCACATTTAAAACAAATAATTCATAATTCATCCTAGAACAGGGAGTTATTGGCACAAATTTCTTTATTGCAAAGATCTTGTTCCCATACGATAATTTTAATCTCGAAACCAAGATTTATTTGAGGGTAAAGGAACTGTAATTCCCTTTACAGACATTGTTATTCTGATACTACCTTGTCAGCGAAGTAGAAATTAAGAAGATATGTTCCTAGTTTCTATTAAATCTCATCGAATATTTCACAAGTTCATTAGGAGAGACAGTCTACTATGGGATCCCCTCTGTGCTGAATAACATTGTCTGCCGTTATCCAAGTGAAATGTTAAAAGTTGCGTTCCTGTAGTGAAGTGGTTAAGAAATATCTCAGTGTCAGTAACTCAGAAAAAGAGGACAACCATTGCTCACAGAACGTTTTGTCAATGTTTAATCTCGGCTCCACTGAAAACCGAAACCTTGGCTAAACACCTGTTGATTACAGTTCTTATTACCCAATAGGGACGGATTGTTATATATTCTGATGGAGTGCATTTGATTAAAGGCGTTAATTCTATTACATTTACGCCCACCTCTTAAACCTCTTTATCATATAGATCAACAGAATACTGAATATGTTAACAGGAATATGAATGTAGTACTGAACCATGCACATACAGTAGAGGCTGAGCCCCACTCCTACAATAGACACAGGAGGGAGCATCAAGGTCCAGAAACACCGGGACCGAGCTGTATTGTGACCCCTCAGTGACTCGAGGCTGGTGCACGAGGTCCTTAAGTCATGATTTATGGCTGCTACTTGTAATCTCCCACAATTAACACTAAGCAGACAAAGTGTTCTTAATGGATTCACTTCTACATAAAAAAACTATACAAAGTTAGCAGTGAAAAGAGACACATGCAGGCACAGTGTCCTTAATGGTCGCACGTTTGTTTAAATCGTGGAAATATGAAGGGAAAAAATTAATGTGTAAAGAAGATAGCGTGCAGTCCTTTACTTTAAGTACAACCTCGAGGTCGTCCTTGTTATTTGGGTCCTCCACAGCCATGCAAACTAAACCAGGAAGACGCCAGTAGTGAAATGTGCAATGGACAGAGAATGCGAAATTTTGCTTGTGTTAAAATTTGCCTTTGGTATTTTGTAAATGACATCGAAATTTGAGCTGTAAGTAAAGGAGGGTTAATGGCTGTCGCTCTTTATTACTTTACAAAGTCATCCAAGGCAGAGTAATTTTGTTAAGTAAACCAAAATAAAATCTTTCATCTGGTAAGGAATATCTTAAAACTGTTATAATTTCAATCAAAACGTGAATATTTGCTGTTTCAGAGACTGTCTCTTCTAGTTAATGTACAGTGTCTTAAGTGATTGTTGGTTCAAGGGAAAATCTTGCAAGCTCTATATTTTTGTTTGTCTACTTATTTATCTATTGTTTCTGTAACTAAACACTGTTGATGCAATAACCAACAAGAAAAGAACAAAGAAAAGAAGAATCAAGAGAACAAAGAAATAAACGAAGAAAAGAAGAAACAAGAGGACGAAGAAATAAACGAAGAAAAGAAGAAACAAGAGGACGAAGAACGCAATGAAATAGAAGTACAAGAAAACAAAGAACAACATATTTGAGAGGAAAATCAAATGTGCATGACACCTTGGCGAGCTTGAAGTTATCATCTCGTGATGTTAGTCCATAACTTTTCATCTCTTAAATAATTGTTTGGAATTATTTTATGTTGTATGTACATTCTTGAAAAAACAATTACAGGCCAAAATAAGATATTACAATAACGAAAACATACGTAACAGGCAACAAAGAGTCGCGGTCGTGGAGTTTAATAAGAATCATTAGTTAATAGATCAGCAGTCAACGTGACCATGACACTAGCTCGCCAAATTATCTTGCTGAACAAACATAAGGGAATACTTCTTCATACAGAGGGTGGCAGATTTATGGAACGTCTACCAGCCTAACATGTGGAATCACAAACAGTACTGGGACTCAAAATAGCCTTCAACATCTCTATCAAGAACAACGGAGGGATCCTACACAGGACACTGGCCTCCTTCCCTCGGCATGGCCACCTCTAGTGGGTGTTCATTAGGTAAATAGGGTAAATACTCTATAAGCTTGGAAAGAACGCACACCCTTTCTTGATACTACAAGTGTTACCCATGATGATGTGCCACTAAAAGATTCAAAGAAAACGATATGGATATCTGGCAAACCTTAGTATATAATTAACTCACTCTGGTGTGTGTTGTCACACCGTGATAATAATAATAATAATAATAATAATAATAATAATATAATAATAATAATATAATAATAATATAATAATAATAATATAAAAATAATATAATAAAATAATAATAATAATAATATAATAATAATAATAATAATATAATAATAATAATAATAATATAATAATAATATAATAATAATAATGCAAAATTTTCGTTTCGGTCATCCAGCGATTTTTCGGATTTTAAGTTTTGGAATCGGTAGCTTAGACAATTCTAAGACACTTCTATGGCATTTCTTCCGCTCAAGATTACTCTGAGAAAATCGCAAAAACAAATTGGAAAATCTTTGTATTTTTCTAAGTAGTTAGAAATTAAAATTATGTTCTTCCGACGGTTTTTGATGTGTTATGAACGAATTTGACCTTCATTTCTAACGCTGAAAGTCATCGTGAGCGGAAAAAATTCTATAGAAAAAAAGTCTTACAGTTGTCTAAACTACTTATTCCAAAACCTAAAATCCTTTAAATCGCTGGATGACCTAAATGATGAAAATACCAACAATCCTTTGCTACTTCCAGCTGACAGATGAAGATGACATTTAATATAATTACACTAAGAATGCATCCAAGGAAAGTTGAAATCGTGTAATTAGGGATCAAAGTAACACCAGCTTATAACAACTAATACTTACTGCATTTACAGCTAACAAGAGTACAGACAATAATACTGTATGGGTCCTGTCTCCAGATCACAAACAACCGATACATCTTTTACAATTAAAATATTAACTCAAAACTTCTTTATACAGTCAAAGTACATAATATTATATGATTACAAAATATGAGAAATACATAGAACCAATATAATTAACATCCAATGCAAAAAAATAAACTAATTATTACAAAGTACATTCACCTTTCATCTCTCTTCCCTTGCAAAGGAGTCTTGATACTAAATGAATATACAGCACACATCTTGATAATATTTAAGTACATAGACATATGTAACACTCCTCTTTACTGTAAATCTTTCAATGGGTCACCGGCTAACCAAAACAGTCTCCTGGTGTCTTTCAAACTCTTCTAATGTGTCATTAACACTGTGAATGAGGAAGTTAGCAAGTGTTGGTCCTAAAAAAAAATATTTTAATTCAATTATAAAGCAACCATGACTCGGCGAACTTAAAAGTGCAACGCAAGAGCTTGGTACTTCGGCAAATTATGTCAAGATTTTTTATTATTATTAAAACAGACAATTATAAAAATTAAATATTAAAGGATTACGACTTTTATTTTCATGAAAGAAGTGAACGAAATGCAACAATGAAAAAGGTCCTAAAACAGAAAATTAATGTTCAGTTTCAGATGTAACCTCGAGCGGTGATATTATTATTATGCCGAGGTATAGTTGTCTTAGTGTGTTTTGATTACTTTCTGCCCCAAACAACAGTTGTTTTGGCAACCTTAGTTAGATTTTCTTGTTTATATTGATGTATTACTCATGCAAGAATATTCTAGAATGTATGGTATCATTTTTTTTATGATTTACTTATTGTAAGCCTAAATCATTCTAGAATTCTCCAGGCGTTCCTCGCGCCGACCTCCAGTGTCTGGACGTCGTTAGAATGCTCATTGCTCTAGGCGTATGACGAGACATATTTAAGTGGCAGTGAGCGGCTTTCAGTCAAGTCGACCATTTCTACCAGACTTCAGAGTGTAAGGTACCAGCCTCGTAGGACAACTCAAAATTGTTGTTCAAGTATTGTGGAATTGTTGGGATCAATATAAAGTGAAAAGACTAAGGAATTGTACGTACATTGATAGTGTGCTGACGACAGTCCTCTCAGTTTCTCATCTCCGTAGTGCTTTTAAATACGGTTTCTTGCATCACTCAACACCGTAGAAATTAATGACTTAAAGATTCAATACAATTACTGCACAAGGAGGTATCACAATTACTAAGCGCATTAAGTCATTAGCTGTTGATTCAAATACATTTATTCATGTATATAAATACAGGTTTAATTAGAAATTACAGGTACAGAACTTTCCAATACAGTATATAATAAAAGGCGAATGTTTTAATTCACCTCTTAGTGAAGCAGACAAAAATATAAACTTTGATCAGCTATGTAACGTACTGTACTGTGTAACTACTGTAGAGCATAGCATCATACAGCAGCACACAGTTGTTTGGAACCAACAATAAGTTTCGAACTGCTGCACCATATGAGAATAAATCCACATGCATGCATTAGTAACACAAACATAAAACAATATTTTTTTATTTCTTTTCCTCTTTCTTACACTTTAAATCTGTGACCAAGAAAGTTCCCCACGAGGCTACTCATCGGTTTCAGATTTTCTCTAAAGACACTTAGGATTCTAAATGAAGATGTAAGAATATACTTACAGTAACTGGTTGACGCACAAAATTAATGTAAAAAACTTACACTGAGCCTGTATCTTAACTCACTAAAAAGACAAAATTAGCATATATAATTTTTTACAAAAATATTTTCACGTTACTATTGTGCTCTAACTGACCCTACGATTAGTTGCATTCTTACATCTTGTTACGGGTAAAAGATGAATACTGTGTACATCGTATGCACTTTTGAAAAATTGGACCTTATATAACCGGTAATAAGGCCCAACTTTCATCTTAAGTGCCATCGTTTGTTACTGTTAAACTTACTGTATGGTTGAGAGTCAAATTAAAAAACTGCACTTCACAGTCCCAGCATTAGTAGGCGTTGAAATTTTATCTTTAACCCAAGTTAAATAATTACATGTAGAGAGTCTTTAGCATCATAACAAACAATTCAGGGTATCGCAATTATGATAAACTGTTATTAAATGATCTGCGATGTTGGGAAAAAGATGATTTCTTTTCCATTTTCTTTCTCGTTACATTCACAAATATGGGAATAAAGACATACTTAGCGATGACAATGATCTGGTGGACAGATGCTGTGAGTGTTAAATTCAGCAGGAAATAAAGATAAAGACTTACACTGGTACAGAAATAATCTATATACAACTTGTAATAATTGGAAACAAAACCTATGGATGAAGATCAGTTTATGTAACGTTAAAACACGAACATATGATAAGTTATAGTGGGAGGTAGTAGGTTAGTGTAGTAGCAGTAGGGTAAGTGTAGCCAGCAGGAGGGAGGTGGTGACTGTGGTGGTGACGGAGTTGTTCTGGACGGAGTCTTTCCCCAACCTTCGCTTCTTCTCACGTCCCATCGCCTCTACAAATTAGAAAGTAATTAACATGGAGTAAAATAAACTATTTATACTGTGTAAAATATTATAAAACTACAGAACGAACTTCGACATCTGCAACAACATACTACGTTATTTGCCTTTCAAATGTACGTTATATATCATGGAAACATAAGAACGTCAAAATCAGTTTCGACTTATTATCTACTGCATTCTCTAAAAAAAAATTATGTTTATTATTGGCAGGTCATCATATCAGTAGAACAATTATACTCACATTTGGTAAAAGTCACCAGAAACATTTATCTACAGTTTGAGAACAATGGCATGGTGTTTACTCTGGTCCGTTAACAATGCATATCCAGAAATATTCAATGCAGAAAACTCTCCTTCTACATTTCTTGGACGGTAGACAAACAGACTAAAACCTCTGAGAGCAAAAACAGTGCCTAAATCTCAAGCAGTTTCATCCTAACAGCTGCAGCCTCAGCACTGTACCTTTGTCGCTACTGGGGACTATATGAAGGCTGTCAAACGCCTCTAGCTCGGTCTGTGGGGACTGATCGTTCATGTCTTCTGGAATCTGTCGAGGAATGGTGTTATTGTTACTAAAAACGTTAAAGAGATAGAGGAAACAGTAACAAGTGAGAAGGTGAAACGAGTCATAAACAAGCTGAATAAAGTCAAGAGCTTCAAGAGTGAGTGGAAACGCTGTCAGGAAATGATAAGAGAAAGATACAAGACACAGGGAATGGTTCCAAATATTTTTTTATCATCATCATCATTATATATTATTATTATTATTATTATTATTATTATTATTATTATTATTATTTAGCAGTCTCTCACCCCCTTCCTCGTCTTCAACGGTATATCATGGGAGCTCCCTGAAGGCGCTGGTGTCGAAACGGCAAAATTATGCTGGTTTTCCGTCACTAGAGTGGTAGTAGGTGGCCGAGATGATGTTGAGATGGCAATGGGTGTACTGGCTGTTTGAATGATATTGGTAGCCGGCTGAGTGGTTGCTGGGGTGCTGCGGGGTGATTGGGTGGTGACTGGGGTGGTTACTGGAGTGGTTGCTAGGGTGGTTGTAGGTTGTTGGGTGGTTGAGAGAACTTTGGCCTCTCTTGGTAATTCAGAGCCCATGTTCCTCGCCATCAGGAACCTATTAGACTCCAACATCTGGTCGAGCTTCTCCATGTAGGGACAATTCTGACAGGGAATGTCTTATTTTATTGATAATTTCTATAAGTCTTGGAAAGAATGAGGTGACAGCTGAGAATATTAAACAAATGACTTTCTCTGCCATATAGATTCAATGCTTATAAATGTGCCATTGTCTTAGATCCCCTTATCTATTCTTAAGTAATGTCAAACAAAACTAAATACAATAAAAAATTTATGATACTGTGAGGTCACGACACACTGAGAAAGGTCAAGATGGTATGAGATTACGACACACTGAGAATGGCCATGATGTGTGGTCACGACACACTGAGAAAGGTCAAGATGGTATGAGATTACGACACACTGAGAAGGGTCATGATGATGTGAGGTCACGACAAACTGAGAATGGTCATGATGTGTGGTCACGACACACTGAGAAAGGTCAAGATGGTATGAGATCACGACACACTGAGAAGGGTCATGATGATGTGAGGTCACGACAAACTGAGAAAAATTGCGTCTCAGGTTGTGTAGAGGACTGCTCACCTGCTCCTGTGTGGTCTGTTTCATCTTGGTGTGGTCGACGCCAATGGAGGTGAAGTAATCGTAACACTTCATTCCGTCATTCGCCGACAAACTCGGCTTCCGACCTAACAACCACATGAATTCAGCTCGAAATCCAAAGTACTCCAGGCAAGAGTACACGCAGGAATAGTTGATGTAGTCTGTAGTGACAACCTAGAAGAGACGAATGAAAGGCAACATGAAAGAAAACTATCAGTGTGTTGTATCTCATCTGAACATACAGGTATTCTATCCCACGTTCATTATATCACTGACGACATATTTCATATATGCTTTAAAAAGTCGCAATTGATTACAGAATTATTATCACAGAGGAAACGCATTAGTTTGTTGCTCTAATCGCAGTCTGGTCCCTCTCTAGAAATTATTTTCAATTCTTGGTAAAAGTGCGAAGTGTTGCACAGCAGCTGAGAATGATATTTCACAAGAATTAGTTAATTAGGGTCATGAAACAATACTTGACAAACGGAGGTATGTGGAAAAGAACGTTATCTAAAAAAATATACTTCCTGACAGGAGAGAATATCTGCAAAAGGATGGAATTTACTACTGTACTTTTTAGTTTAGGAAAAACTGGGAAAAGAATCGGATCTAATCAATACACTTCTAGGTAAGAGAAAGAACCTGACGAGTGACACAAAACCTTATAAAATACTCGTACACTTCGCGCTCAGGAAAAATACATGGCGAGAGACTTAAGTTTTCATGAAATATAATTCCTAGCAGGGAAGGGAACTTAGAAAAGGAGAGAATTAGTCAACGAAATTCCTAGGCAACGGACAGTGCCTAGAAAAAGAAAACGAATCGACATAGAGGGAGACATAGTTAAAATAACAAGGTGACGGGGGGGATTGAAATTTAAAAAACATTAATGGATAGATCTTGTAAATGACACTACGTAGTAAGGAAGAGAATTTGGTGACGGAAATAACTTGGTAAGGGGTAGTAAAGGAGAGTACCTCTTAAGAGAAACGTGCCAGTAAAGGAGACTACTTTCTGGGGAAGACTACCTGGTAGGGAGACTCGGGCATGCCGTCGACGATGACCCTCATGTGGGCTAGGTTGGGGGCACTCGGGAGCTCGTCCGCCGGCAGTAACATCATATCCTGCTTCACCTCCCTTCCCTCGTCCGTCAATCCCCCCGTCTGCACTTTCAGGTAATTTCCTGTGTCGGATAGGTAAATAAGTTCTGAAAATTTTTAGTCAATACTTTTCTTGCTTTATAACCTTGTTATCTTCAAGGGTATCTGAACGAACGTACCACAGCGTATGGTTATGTTGAGTCATTACATTTCATGATTGTTAGTATTCAATAATCTGCTGATGACAGGACGTACAAAGTGTTTGTGAGATTTAATGCAAGTAAAATTAAACACTACATTATGCTGTATCTAGGTTTTGTGAAGTAGAGAATGACCTCATGCTGAGGACCAAGCCAAGTTGCACGTCCATATGTAGCAGTCGAAGATATGACTTTTATATTATAATTACTCTCAACTTTGTGACAAGACTAGAGATAATGTCAAAAGCCTTCATAGTAAATGTTTTTGACTTTTATCTTCGGTGCAGATAACGAGTTTTCTTTCGACATGAAATGTGCAAGTAGACGCAGTGTTACATAGTGTTACGTACCCCTTTCACCGCTTATCAGCTTCCACCGCTGGTTACCAAAGGCCAGGTCGTATATACAGAAGCAGTTGATATAATTATCACCAAGTGTCGTCGAATTACCACTAGCTGTCCCGCCAGTTTCCGTTAATTTCCCGACGAACGGTATCAGTGTACAGGCAAAACAACAGACAGGTACATTTCAGCCAGGTCACAGAAACACACCTGTGCACTGTGGTCTTCTTTAATAATCGCTAAATCTTCACAACAAACTCTTTCACAGAGTAGTCCTCACAACTAGACTTCTCACTTCGATTATATACAGTCAGCACACTGCCAGTGTACAATTCCTTAGTCTTTTCACTTTATATCGCTCACAACAATTCCACAATACTTGAACAACATTTATCTTTAGCTGTCACTAAACCTGCTATGCACTTTCGCAAAATTCTTTTTAAAACGCCCTAGAGCTGGTGGCCAATAGATAATGTAAATTCCGACTCACTATGTTTACAAAAATGAACGAATTCTCTAAGGTTTGGGCGATTCCTATAGAGCAGGTTATACTTGATACACTGTTTCTTAACTTTGATTGCTTGAGATTACTAATGTAAACTAACACTTAATTGACGTTGGTTATAAACTCTGATCGGCATTTGAATCCGAAACCAGAAGGACTCGCATGTTAATATCTACACTAGACAATCAGATTTTATATTTAACATTCCTCAAACTTCTTTTCGACGATCATATAGTATCATCGGATGTTAGCAAATAAGTTTCCTTGTCATCAATAGTGGATTAATATCTAGGACACAAATTTGTGACTTTTACTAATGATCGCAGGTCGGGCTTGAATAATAATAATAATAATAATAATAATAATAATAATAATAATTAACAGTGCAAGAAGAAAGTTGAATCTACATAAGGAACCATAAATAAAGTTTCACATCTATAGTGTGTGAACTTGAAGACTTACTTATCCAACAGTAGATCAGTGTGGGTCTGGAGGCACATCTAGAATATTGCTTGGAAACTTACCCATCCAGGTGTAGTTCTGCGTGATGCATGCCTTAGTCTGCTGGTAGTTGTTGGGGACATGCGATATGTCGAACCAGAGACCCCCATACTGTAAACACAGGGACCCACTCGATTGAGAGATTCGAACGTAAAGTGTTGCTCCTAATTATATTGATACTGCTAAATAAATTAAGAAATTCCTGGTTGAAATGTAATGAGAAGAATATATTATTTGTACTAAAACGAGAGAAAAAAATGATAGAATAAAGTTGCTTGAAAAGATGTCAGTCACACGCCGAGATTAATAGTCCGGTGAAAGGAAATAAAAAATTGATGGATCGTTATTATATATATAACTGACTTAATATATACTGAAAAAAGACAATGTTTACTGCTAAAACATTGTACATGAAATAAACAGAAAAGGAATAGATGAATGTTTGGATAATAATACTGTTGATGAATGGTTGGATATTACTGCTGATGATGAATGGTTGAATAATACTGCTGATGATGAATGGTTGGATATTACTGCTGATGATGATTGGTTGAATAATACTGCTGATGAATGGTTGGATAATACTGTTGATGATGAATGGTTGGATATTACTGCTGATGATGATTGGTTGAATAATACTGCTGATGATGAATGGTTGAATAATACTGCTGATGAATGGTTGAATAATACTGCTGATGATGAATGGTTGGATAATACTGATGATGATGAATGGTTGAATAATACTGCTGATGAATGGTTGGATATTACTGCTGATGATGATTGGTTGAATAATACTGATGATGATGAATGGTTGAATAATACTGCTGATGAATGGTTGGATAATACTGATGATGATGAATGGTTGAATAATACTGATGATGATGAATGGTTGAATAATACTGCTGATGAATGGTTGAATAATACTGCTGATGAATGGTTGAATAATACTGATGATGAATGGTTGAATAATACTGCTGATGAATGGTTGAATAATACTGATGATGATGAATGGTTGAATAATACTGCTGATGAATGGTTGAATAATACTGATGATGAATGGTTGAATAATACTGATGATGATGAATGGTTGAATAATACTGATGATGAATGGTTGAATAATACTGCTGATGAATGGTTGAATAATACTGATGATGAATGGTTGGATAATACTGATGATGAATGGTTGGATAATACTGATGATGATGAATGGTTGGATAATACTGTTGATGAATGGTTGAATAATACTGATGATGATGAATGGTTGGACAATACTGCTGATGAATGGTTGGATAATACTGATGATGAATGGTTGAATAATACTGCTGATGATGAATGGTTGGATAATACTGATGATGATGAATGGTTGAATAATACTGCTGATGAATGGTTGAATAATACTGATGATGATGAATGGTTGGATAATACTGATGATGATGAATGGATGAATAATACTGCTGATGATGAATGGATGAATAATACTGCTGATGATGAATGGATGAATAATACTGCTGATGATGAATGGATGAATAATACTGCTGATGATGAATGGATGAATAATACTGCTGATGATGAATGGATGAATAATACTGCTGATGATGATGAATAATACTGCTGATGATGAATGGATGAATAATACTGCTGATGATGAATGGATGAATAATACTGCTGATGATGAATGGATGAATAATACTGCTGATGATGAATGGATGAATAATACTGCTGAATGGTTTAATAATACTGCTGATGATGAATGGATGAATAATACTGCTGATGATGAATGGATGAATAATACTGCTGATGATGAATGGATGAATAATACTGCTGATGATGAATGGATGAATAATAATACTGATGATGAATGGTTGAATAATACTGATGATGAATGGTTGAATAATACTGATGATGATGAATGGTTGAATAATACTGATGATGATGAATGGTTGGACAATACTGCTGATGAATGGTTGAATAATACTGCTGATGAATGGTTGAATAATACTGCTGATGATGAATGGTTGGATAATACTGATGATGATGAATGGTTGAATAATACTGCTGATGAATGGTTGAATAATACTGCTGATGAATGGTTGAATAATACTGTTGATGAATGGTTGGATAATACTGCTGATGATGAATGGTTGAATAATACTGCTGATGAATGGTTGAATAATACTGCTGATGAATGGTTGAATAATACTGCTGATGATGAATGGTTGGATAATACTGATGATGATGAATGGTTGAATAATACTGCTGATGAATGGTTGAATAATACTGCTGATGATGAATGGTTGGATAATACTGATGATGATGAATGGTTGAATAATACTGCTGATGAATGGTTGAATAATACTGCTGATGAATGGTTGAATAATACTGATGAATGGTTGAATAATACTGATGATGAATGGTTGATAATACTGCTGATGATGAATGCTGATGAATGGCTGAATGATGATGATGATGATGAATGGTTGAATAATACTGATGATGAATGGTTGAATAATACTGCTGATGAATGGTTGAATAATACTGCTGATGAATGGTTGAATAATACTGATGATGAATGGTTGAATAATACTGATGATGATGAATGGTTGAATAATACTGATGATGATGAATGGTTGAATAATACTGATGATGAATGGTTGAATAATACTGATGATGAATGGTTGAATAATACTGATGATGAATGGTTGATAATACTGCTGATGATGAATGGTTGAATAATACTGCTGATGATGAATGGTTGAATAACTATGATGAATGGTTGAATAATACTGCTGATGATGAATGGTTGAATAATACTGCTGATGATGAATGGTTGAATAATACTGATGATGAATGGTTGAATAATACTGCTGATGATGAATGGTTGACTAATACTGCTGATGATGAATGGTTGACTAATACTGCTGATGATGAATGGTTGAATAATACTGCTGATGATGAATGGTTGAATAATACTGCTGATGAATGGTTCAATAATACTGCTGATGATGAATGGTTGAATAATACTGCTGATGATGAATGGTTGAATAATACTGCTGATGATGAATGGTTGAATAATACTGATGATGAATGGTTGAATAATACTGCTGATTATGAATGGTTGAATAATACTGCTGATTATGAATGGTTGAATAATACTGCTGATGATGAATGGTTGACTAATACTGCTGATGATGAATGGTTGACTAATACTGCTGATGAATGGGCTGCCGTAAACTATGGATTTACATCAATATAATCAACTATTACGGACTAAAAAGAAGCAGTCATGAACATTCTTTAGGATATTCCCGTATAGAGACTGGTTAAGTGTTTCTATTTGGATAACAGTCTGAATTTCTTTTTCCAAGTAAATTGAAAACTTGCTTCATCAAATTAACTCTTAAACTCCTAATGTGTTGATATTTTTCATACCCAAATTAAACAAATACAAACACAGAGCAGGCAAAAAATTACACGCAAATAAAATCAAAACAAACACAAGTGCACTACGTAACCTTGGCAACAGATAACAAGATTTGGTATCACTTGTTATGTGCCGTCTCGCGCACAGTTCCCAACTCTTTAAATGTAAGGCATATATTTACCTCTTGTTCCACAATTATTAATGATTTTTCATCGTTGTCATCTATTTGTATTAGGCAAGCCATCACAGTTACAAACTCTGAACCTTGTTTTCATGGACTGAATATTATCTTAGCAAGTTTCCCGATTTCCGCCGCCAACAGGAGGACCCGTGTTAATCACTACACATCAAGGGCATCCCCTCAAATGTAATCAATTATCTTACAAACCACAATATACACTAGGAAACTTTTTGTATAATTATACTTACTGACCGCTTATACAAAGCGGAAAGAATAAAATGGTGTTAAAGTTTGTCAGGTTCATACGATTGGAAGCGTTACCGGTATATGGTTAAATACATTCAGCTGTCGTAAAGATTACTCAATTGAACCTCACCTTTCAGTATCTAGCTAATTAAAAATCTATTTTTAAATTAATGCTCAATTAAGCCTATCATCATTGCTGCAGTACCCTAGTTAAGAGATAATCATGACCTATTGCAGTTATGACACATTTTACAAAGGGATACCTACTGCTCAAGCAAGCACCTCTACATATTGGCTATACACTCTTAAAGTTGCAATTTTCTAAAACGAAAATTAGGTAGATAATATACCCACGTTTCACCATATGAAATGAACTCGCTTTTGTTTCTAGCGTAGTCACAATTCCTCCTACTCCCGGTAACCTGCCACGTCATGTGGGCGGCCCCCACACGAATACTGATCACCTGTTGGGAGCAGTCATTAGCTACTTTCTACCATAGGTCCTCTACTTCAAAGCGTTTTAATTGAAATGCTTGAGTATATTCATCATCTTACCTTGACAGGATCAAAGTTCTCCACGAGGGTGACCTGTGCACATGCACCATACTGTAGGAAATCAGGGAGGCCAAAGAGTCCTTCTACGGAATGGACCAAGGATCCAGTTAATAGCAGGAGCAGCTGTAGGATCCTCTTGGACTCGTGACTCACAGGAAGAGACAGCATGGCGTTTCAAGGAAGCGCCAATGATGGTCAAGTGTTAGTTGGTGTCGGGAGCTTCGTCGTGGCTGTCTGTTTTCGAAATGTAAAATTAGAGAATTTACTCGTCAGGCTATGATCTGCAGGTTAGCACATCTTAATTAAATCTCCATAATTCTGGTATGTTTGATGTAGTACGTTGAAAATTTTCGATGATGACTTAGATAAATAAATTCTTAACAAGACTATTGAAGCTGACAGGACTGATAATCATTTAGCAGTCACAGAAAATGTTTGAAAATAACAATAACTCGGCTGCAAGACGAAGGAAAATGCTAATTATTATTGGATTCCACCCAAATATCCCTGACATCATTTCTTTTAATTTCATTCTATTCTTATTTTTTCGCCCCTGGGCACCGTTGTGGGTCGTTTGACCTGTGCCCGGGTGGGCTGATCCCCGGTAAAAAAAAAGTGCATTAACTATAAAGAGCGAAATCTGAAGTTATTAATAGAAACAACTCACAAGGACGAACAAATGCAACACTTTATGTCCCTCGCCATATTGTACACCGAGACCATAAGAAAATGAGTATAATTACTGGTTGGGAAACGAGTCAAGGGTACACCAATTTCGATATCCGACCACTACAGTTAACGCAGAGAGGCGACGAGCATACTGCGAGAGGAAGCAGCAGAGTGACGAGAGTTATGAAGATGTCGTCTACTTAGTGTGGAGCATAATCGCTCGTCATCGTGAACGTCATTCCTGCATCTTCATCTTTCAGCATTGGAACTTAAGACTCATCCCGAGCAATTGCCCTCTGGTCACTGCTGATCCCAGTATCTAGATCGTTTATGTAGATTATGAATTAGAGTGGGCCTAGTACTGACCCCTGAGGAACCCCACTGGTTACACGGCCCCACTCAGATTTAACACCACCTACGCTGACCCTCTGCGTTCTATCGGTGAGCCATGATTTTATTCAATTTAAAACTTTCCCCTCGATACCATGAGCCTTAACGTTTCTCAGAAGCCTCTGATGCGGTACTCTGTCAAATGCGTTGCTAAAGTCTAAGTAAATAACATCGTAATTTTCGTCATTATCTACTACCTCGAAGACTTTCCTAAAAAAATGTCAGCAGATTTGTTAGACAAGATTTTCCCTTTGTAAACCCATGTTGAGAGTCGTAGATTAATTTGCTTTTCTCTAAATGCGATCGCATGCTATCTGCTATAATTGATTCAAGAAATTTCCCCACTACTGACGTCAAACTAGACGGCCGGTATTTTGACCTGACTAGTAACGTGGCCCTTTTTCTCTTTTGCTTCCTCTACGTGTGTGTTGGTGTTGGTGTGGGGATTAGTGGATGACATCATTATGACTTGAACTCAAGCTTAATAATGTCACCCTGTATATTTAAGCCTATCTCTGTTCATGTAATCCAGTTGCCTCTGAAGATTTCTTGAATAAAGACGGAAGCTAAGGTGCTCCGTTGTTTCCCTTTTCCCCGTGTGATTTTAGCAATATATATATATATATATATATATATATATATATATATATATATATATATATATATATATATATATATATATATATATTTCATTTTTAGTCCATATAACACGCGGACTTTGAACATATAATCAACGAGGTCGTTGATTATATGTTCAAAGTCCGCGTGTTATATGGACTAAAAATGAAGTATATATATGTACCTCGCGTTTCATACCAGCTGGATTCGGTAAAATGCTACTGACACCACATAAGAGGCACGGGCAGTTTCCCAATGAGGTTCACGGCGCCATCAGCTCGACGAACAGGCTTTGTGTGAAATATAACAGGGTAAAAAGTTCTAATGTGCAGTGGAAATAAGAGGTAACGTAAAGATTACAAAAGCATAAATCTGTTGAGCGTACCAGAGAAAGTGTATATGGATTATTAGTGAGAAAAATGCAGTGAAAACAAGAGTCGAGGAAAGGAAGATAATTTATACCATCCTATATCAAGTACTTGAGTAAAAGAACATGAATGAGGAGTTTGTAAAGGTTGAGAAGAATGATTATTTAAGACATTCATAGATCTAGAAAAAATTACGTTTGGTTGGATTCTTATATCATCATAATTTAATTACAGATATATATTTCAAGAGCCTACTGTGATTGGTCGCTATAAGCACGCCGTGATTGGCCCTCTTACCAAGAAAGGGGTACGAGTGGGCAAGTGTATTGAGGACACCATGATTCACGGTGTTTCCTTAATTGGGTTAAATATAATATCTCAATGAACACGACGCATAAGGGGTTATCCTAATTTGATGGCACGGAGCTAAGTGTCTTCTCATTCCTGCGAGGGCAAAGGTGGCACGTATAAGAAGGGCTGTTGCTGATTCAAGTCTCCGTATTAAATGTGGCCATCGTGACGATCGGAGGTTCTCGACTCAAAAATCAAACCCGCCGACTAAATATATTCTCGGAATTATATTTTTTTCCCTCGGTCAATTAATATGCTTCAGACATTATTTTTTCAGATGCTTAGATTTACAGTATATATAAATAGGAATTATCCTTGTTTGGGTTTAAAATTATTGTCGGTCAAATAATAATTTAAACGGAAGAATTTTTTAATTTTTTAAAATATTTTATGCATTTTTTTTTAAATTTGTTTATACTTGTGCAATGTTATAATCGCATTTTCTAAAACACAAAAACAAATCCTTAGTGAAAGGATATGCAAGAAAAAGATTTATGAATGAGAGCAAAAGTGCAAAGGCAAGGAGCACGTACAGTGTGACAATACGTAACGTTATACAGAATACTGCATACAGTATATCGGTCACGGAAACATTGCATACACTTTGATCACTATCATTTCTTTTTTAAACTATGGTTAAGTACAAATTTATTAAGTGAATATTTGTCATGCGATGGGTGAAAGGTTCACATCCGAAATTTACAATCTAAAACAATTTCCGGGAAAGTTAATCTTTATTAAGGTTATTGAAAGTTGTCTCTGAAACCAGATATTGTAATAAAATAAAACTAATCTGCTCTTTATTACGACTCTATTGACAGAACACGCCAGCTAGACGTTAATGTCACTACAATTGACTTTTTCTAGTAAGTCAGTTTTCAAGTATTGAAGTAACGATTAGTAACTTCTACACGAGATCAAATAGCTGTGACGAGCCTGCCTGAAGGGTCGAAGCTTCAAAATCAAAATAATTAGTTCGAATTCCACAACTGGTGTGTGTGGGTGAACGCTCGATGATGTCACAAGGACAACCATCACTGTGCATCACAGCCAACTTGCGGATTATAGTAAGGATAATCTGAGATGAGGGTGCTCTGTCTACCGCAGAAACTTACTAGAAGCGCCAGTCGGAGACGATATAGTAGACACGTTAAGTTCCTCTGGTAACGTGGATCATGGGTCACTCAAGCTCAGTGTTCACCTCATTTCTTCGATTATGTCGAAGAAAACCGAAAAAAAAGAAAATCTTCCGTAACTGAATGCTCTAAAGAATCTATTCTTAGTCTGCGGAATATCGTTCACTTCGTTCAGCCCAGGATACACCCATTGATTGAGAACGTCCAAAGGAAGGTCGCCAATCTGGTGCTGGCATTCAGACACCTCGCATACCAAAGAAGATTAGAACGTCTTCGATTTCATATTTTATACTGTAAAAAGATGAGCGGTGCTTTGATAGACGTATATAAGCGCCCCAAAGGTGCCTCTCGTAGGAAAGGGGAAAGGGGGGGGGGGATATTGTTCCCTATTTCACAATGGACCTCAAGTCAATAGTTGCTTTTTGTGGGTCGTGGTTTAAAAAATAGTCTTTATATTCCAAAAACGTCCAAAGTTGGACAGAATATAATAGTCTCATCATATTATGATGGGACTACATTGAAGCTCCTTCTGTGAGAGCGGTGGTCAGGTCTCCTGAGTATTGTGTCAGCAATTATAGCTAACCATGAAAAGCCTCCAGTCCCGTCACCTGGGCCAGATATTTCTGACTAGAAATTTCAAGGTTATAGAAAATATTTTTTTTACTCTCAATCCAGATTTAATATACACCTTCACACCGTGATATTTTATGGAGGTCTGGGACTGAGAGGGCACAGCAGTAGGTGTTAATATCTTCGAATTTTAAAATTTTCAATATAGCAAATTTTTCGTTTGTGTGATCTGTTTTTTTTTCAAGTAGGTCATTGTCCGTACAACTCTTCTTTGTGCAGTAACCAGAGATTGTGTTTTTGAAGGGCCAGAGGACCCCCATAGTGTGTAACAGTTCGTAAACAAGATCATGATAGATTTCTTTCATTGCTGTGAGAGTGAGTGAGTGACTGTCGAGTGTGATACATGATACTGCACGGTTTATTGACTTTACTGTGAATGGCTTGTATGTGGTTTCTCCAGTTAAGTTTCTCATCAACAATAACTCCGAGGAATTTAGTATTTTGTTCGTGTTTGAGGACTGTATTACCAAGATACAGGGGGTCCAAGTCTGCAGGTAAGTCTTTCCTTCTGTGAAAGATCGTGTAGAGGGTTTTCTCAAGGTTTAAGGTCAGTTTATTACGTATTACCCAGGTCCTGACTTTAGTTAATTCAGTATTCATAGTTCTCATCAAGGAATGGAGGTCTGAGCTGCTGGCATAGAGATTACTATCGTCTGCAAATAAGTTGTATTTTATGAGTGAGCTGGCGTGGACTATGTCGTTTATGTACAAGAAAAACAGTACTGGACCGAGAATGGAACCTTGGGGGACTCCATACAAGATTGGCGAGGAGTCAGATTGGTGATTATTATAGCAGACATACTGCATCCTGTTAGACAGATATGAGGTAAACCAATTGTGGGACAGGCCCCTAACTCCATAATGTTCAAGCTTTGAAAGGAGGATGGTATGGTCGACAGTATCGAAGGCTTTAGAGAGGTCCAAGAATATACTGGATAGCCGAGCACTCTCAGTCGACCTTCTAGCTCTAAATCCAAACTGGGAGTCTGTAAAGACGTTATTGGCATTGCAGAAGGAATTTAGTCTATTACATGCTAGCTTTTCCAGTATCTTACTCAAGGCTGGGAGGACTGATATGGGGCGGTAATTCTTGAAGAGTCCTTTGTCCCCAGATTATTTATATGCTGGGTGAACTTAAGCAATTTTCAGTTTATCAGGAAAGACACCACTATTGAAGGAGGAGTTACAAATGTGTAGAACAGGTAGTAATAAGTGGGCTACTTTCTTGATAATGCCCATTGGTATATTATCTTCGCCTGCTGCTGCATCTTTGGACATTTTTATGGTGGTCAGTAATTCATCTGCTGTGACAGGGAATAAGAACAGCTCATTTTGCAGGTAGGCTCTAAATTCCTCATGGTGATCTGGGATGCTCTCTGCAAGATTTTTGCCAACATTAATAAAATATTCATTGAAGTGGTTGGCAATGGGGGAGGGTTCCGTTACAACTGAATCATTTATCATAAAAGCTGAGTGGGGGGCCGAAGGCTGTGTGCTCCTGTTCTGAATAGAATTTATGACAATCCAGGTTTTCTTACTGTCGCTTGATGCTGACTGGAGCTTATTTGTATAATACTGTACTGTAGTTACATCTGGCATTTATAACTGCTTAAGTTACTCTATTTCTGATACTTCAGTAAGCATCACCGAAAGTTATGGGTCTTTTTGCAAATTTCCTTTGGAGTGTGTTTTTCTTTTATCATTACCTTAATTTCGCTTGTGATATAGGGTTTGGAAATGGATACAGTCACTAGCGTAGCTAGGGGGGCGGGAGGAGGGGCGGGGGGTCCGCCCCGGGCGGCACTTTTGGGTCTGCTCATCACCCATATCTGCAGCTACTGGAGACGTTAATCCATCCCTTTGTATCGGCGGCAAGTTAATCCTTGTCGTGTCTGACCTAACACCTGACCCACATCATCACGGCCACGTCATGAGCTACCCCCTTGCTATGCGCCCCCCCGCCCCACACACAACCTGTAACCTGTTGAGGATTAAGGAAACAACTTCAAACAAGTACGCCAGTGAGCTCATGTGGTGTGGGTCAGGTGTTAGGTCAGACACGACGAGGATTAACTTGCCGCCGATACAAAGGGATGAATTAACGTCTCCAGTAGCTGCAAAACCATGCAGTCTCGGGTCATATCAGTTCATGTACAGCCGACCAATCCACCAGTTACAAGCAATTCACTTCAGTTCTGCACAAGTCTCCATCGTGACAAGACGAGGGGAGGCTAGACGACTTTTAAGTTCTCTTGTGTTTTCGATCCGGTTATTTACTTCGTTGGAAGACATAATACTATAAGGTAAGAAATATTAAAGTATTGGTTAAAAAATATTGATGTGACTTTTGCTGCGACATTGATAAAGAGGAGTTCCTCGTTGAGAGAAAAAGATTTCAGCATTTTGTTGCTGTTGCTGCTATAACTATTAAAGACAGAATACAGACGTGGAAAGAAGGCCCCCTTGAACTTTTGCAGTTTATTCAAAAGTATAACCTTGGGAACTCGGTTCCAAATATAGTAATAATGCTGAGGATTTTCCTCACAATTGCTGTTAGTGTTGCTACCTGTGAGAGGAGTTTTTCGAAACTAAAACTGATCAAGAATTACTTAAGATCTACTATGAGCACCTTGCGGTTGAGAAATCTTGCCATACTGTCTATAGAGCGACAATTGACAGATGAAATAGTTTTTGACAATGTCATTGAAGAATTTGCCAACAAAAAAACAAGAAAAGTTACTTTGTAGAAAGTTGTAGTTTTCATTTCAGAAATAAAGATGGTCCTAATTTTTTTACACTTTTTTACTTTTTCCCTATCCTATATGTCGTTTTTGCTTTTTGTTTAACTGTTACTTATAAAGTTTAAGTATGTTTGGGGTGTATTTAAAGCATACTATATTTGAGTATGTGAAAGTACAGTAATATTATAATGGTACACAAACTATTTAATATATATATATATATATATATATATATATATATATATATATATATATATATATATATATATATATATATATATATATATATATAGAGTGAGTCATGCAATATGTATTTTGGGGCAAAAATAACTTATTTTTTTATATGATGATTCGGACACAGTAAGCATGTTCGACTGTAAACACCCTGTAAATAAACAGGCAGTGCAGGATCAAATTATTTACGACTTTTTCCTTTCAAAATATCCTCACTTAACAAATATAGTAATTAATTGGTGTGAAATAAATCAAATGACTAGTAAACTCCTATTTAGTGGTCATATAATTCCCAGATAACGAGTATATACCATCTAAAAAACATTTATTTTACATATATATTCGCGGGCTCTACTGAGTTGGGAAGGAAACACCAAGTGCATCAACAAGACTAACTGTGAATATTGAAAGAACTTATTACAACAGCTTAAACACTGGGAAATGTCTTACTATCTACAAAAAATATGCTATAAAATTCTTAATGAATACTTTGGCGATATTGTAGCCAAAGTTGGTGAAGCACTCTTCTTGAAGGGGGTCAATCCGTTGAGGGTTATATGTGCTTCTACTAAACTTCCATTGGTTAAAGTGAGTCTTATCAGATTTATTTAGATCATTAACAAGATTTGGTAATTATATAGGAGTAACTCGTGGCCGAAATTGATTGAACACTATTATAAAAACACCAGATTTTCAATTATTTTATAGTGGACACTTTTAGTTTGTGGAAATGTGTTAAAAAATGGATTTTTTTTTTAAATAAACGTTACTTAACATTTGTGGTTATGAAGAACAGACCTAACCAAATAAACCTACCTAACCTTACCTTACCTTACCTTACCTTACCTAACCTAACCTAACCTAACCTTCTCACCGCCTCCCGGACCCCCCCCCCTCCCCGGTATATAAAACAGAACTTATTTTGATATGTTGAAATTTTAGGCATTTTCTGGACGTGAGATGTATCGGTGTGATTTGTTATCGAGATGGTGGGAAATGCGAGCCACAGCGTCGGTAAAGTGATGGATGATTGTTTCCAAACAAACTAACTTAGCACACAAAGCCAGTTCTATTTTACAATATTGCTGTGAACAATACTTTCTATTTAAAGGAACGATGCCGTGGTCTTTGAACAACTTAAGGGTCTCGTCTTTATCCCTAAATTCGCAAATTACGTCCATATAAGACCGGCGACAACCTTCACGTCATGCTGAAAATGAAACTGCCATGAAACGAAAAATTTGCACTACAAATGATTATCAAATAACAACTCACTGATGATAATAATGTAAGGAAATAAACAGTAATGAAAATAACTCGTCGGTGGGTTAGTCCTATATATTAACCGTTGATTGCCCTAGGGTTTTTTTCCAGGTGGAAGACAAGACATAATCTAACCTAACCTATCGTCATTTTTCAATCTACAGCACGGTTCGCTGATAATGGACGATTAGCCAATTAAGAGTGCACTCACGGTAAAATATCATTAGTAGGAACTTAGCCGATCAGGGTAAAATATCCATTGCGTTGAATTTAAAAATATTCTGGGGACGGAATTGTAGCTTCCTTACTTTTAGGTTTCCCTAGTTTTTGTTACGAGTATATATGGTCCGTGCACATGCAGACACCAATTTCAGGCTCCTGTTGACAGTAAGTAAAGATTGCACAACACCCGAAATATCCTACCAGTACCTAACCTAATGCTCTTCCAGCCTAGAATATTGTAGATGGATTTTGTCTAATTAACTGAACTTGTTCTTTATCTAAATTTTTAAATTAATTTTACTTTCTTATTTACAACATGTCATTTCTGTCACTGCAGGAGAAGTGTCTACATGTGTTAATGTATTAATATTATAATTTAAAATAATACTGTAGTGTTATAATATGGATATAAATTGCTGCCATTTTTTTTTATAAAAGAAGCGTTAATGTGTTTGAAACGTTTGTCTCTTGGCACTCGCAAACAAGTCATGGCATCATCCCAGTTAATTTGTGTTCAGGATGAAAACATTGGAAAAACAAATGGAGGAAGTTATAAATCTTCTACCTACATTTTTATTTTCTACAGGTAAAAGAGAAGTTTTCTTCTTTACAAAAGTTTCAAAAGTTGCTGCTTCTCAAGAGTCAGTGCTGTAAAACATTATCAAGCTATAATCTAGGAGAGGGGTCCAGGTTGACCAGTTACTTACCTAAAATCTCTATAGAAGAAAACTTATTTCCTATCTCAAGAATAACCCAATTCATGTGGAAGAATTAAACGCTTATTTTGTTTCTAGTTTTTCCATAAATAAAGATGCTCTGTGCCACCCGACGGAGCCATATTTGTACTGTGTGTGTTTGGAATGGTTAAGTACGCTACTGCTGCTGGGAAGCTCACGGCACTGCAGTGTTTTTGTGTATCGCCAAACTAATATATACATAGTAGTATTACAGTACAAGAATTGCAAGTCTTACTTTTTTGAGTTGTTACTACAGTAAGTCACTGAGTTACAAACAGGTTGCTTGTAAGTTGGAACATTGTTAATTCCATAGTTTAGGTTAGGTTAGGTTAAATCACGACCCTGCTCATACAAAACAACAATAATATCCCAAACAAAAAAATTAAGTAAATGCTGTAAATAAAATGGTGTTAGATATAGTATACTATAAAGTATTATAATATAAAAAAATGGGATTTTAGTTAGATTTTTGTGATGAATATACAGGTACAGGTATCCCTCAAGATATGAACGTTCGTGATATGAATTTCCTAAATTGACACCACTATTTCGAGAAACGAAACTTCCCCTTCCGATACGAATTTGGGTCCGGGCAAAAATTCAATTGCACACCCTCGGGAGTCAACTGGGGCAGCCCTAGCTACTTATCGAAAAATCTCTATTAGAAAACTTGCGGTATTTCTTGCCTAAAGAATAACCCAAATCACGTGGAGGAATTAAACTTTCTTATTTTGTTTCTAGTTTTTCTTATAAATAAAGACGCTGTGGCACCCGATTGCGCCATATTTGCACTTTGTGTGTTAGGAATGGACAAGGATGCTGCTGGGTAGGTCATGGCACTGCAGCATTTGTGTGTATTGCCAAACTAATATGTAAAATTACAAAAATGTTTCACAGGAACACATTCCCGACATAATGGAGACCCCTGTACTGTAGCCATATTAATACTACTGTACTCCTTAATTCTTGAAAGTACGTACTGTAGACTGTGTCTTTGGCATTTTGGTGGATTAATTAAAGTGATTACTGAACTGAGTAGGATTTTAACAAGAATCAACCATAAGTGCAGGTAAAAAATGTTTCTATCACTCAGAAGTTCATTCTCGCTAAAATAAGATTTTAAAGATGGTGATATGTTGAGGTAAGAGTTCAGCCTTGTAAATCAGAAAAGGGGAAATACCAGAGGTTTGTAATCTTATGTTGGGGATTATTTAGAAATGTCCTAGTCAAAAAATTGACAGCGTGACTGATTTATTTTCAATGAAAGGTATCCGAGGCAGTAGCAGTCTTAATACAACACAACCTTGTGACATGGGAGGAATGGCGTCCAGGGATACCCTGTTATACGCTGCTTCATGATCGAGTTCTTCTCATCTTACGGTTTCCCAGGTAGTGTAGTTATTCACTGTAGAATACTTTCATAAAAGATGATGATGTGTTCTGGTTTGACATCAACAAAGGATTTCAATACTAACCTACTATAATTATTTTAGCTTTTAAATCACCACAAGAAATCTGTTTAATACAGTGCCATTTTATTGGTATAGAATCAAAATACAGTATAAAAAATGAAAATTTGAATGGTAAGCTGTATGATGTAAATATTTTCAGACTTAAATTGTCAAAACTTTGTGATAGGGAGACTTAAGAGAGAAATTACAGTATACAGTACATGAAATCTATCCGAGAAGAAATGTACAGTATAAAATACTTTTGTTTTTATACATTATAACTAATGTAACATTATTTCAGATATGTGTATTTGGTCCGTGAGCAGTTTGGTGAGGAAGGGGAGATGGTTGTGGATGTGCTGTTAAAGGAAGGACAAGCTACTGCCTCTCACATTATTGTTACATCATGTGTTAAGCTGCTGGAAGCTTCTGATAATGGTACATACCATACAGTCAAGTGATGGATGAGTTCAATGCCTCAAATTCATGTTTCTTAATTATAGCACAGTAAAGTTAATGATTTTATACAGTACTGACATTTTATTTATTGATTGTATTCCACAGTGATAAATATTGGGGCACAAAAATTTTATTTTGCATAATTGTCTTTTTGAGTTTAAAACTTGGCTTCTCTGAACTGTTACATGTAACCTGGTGGGAAAGAGGGATGATAATTTGAAATATGAAGGGAAGTCAGTGCATGTCAATGAGTGTGTGTTTGGACAATAAAGATCCGGTTTTAGGGTTTATGATACAGAACACTCCTTTTGACAGTGACAATTTCCTTAATGTACAATGAAAGACAAAAGTCGTCTCGTGAGATTTGGTGAAAACATATGCCGAAGGGCTAAACTTTTGGTACGCTCCGCCTTGTGGTAGGGGGCTCTCATAATGATTACGAGTTATATTTAATCTTTGGGCAAAACCGCGACACGACTTTTGTCTTTGACTGTACAATAACAGAATATGTTAAGGCCAAAAGAATTTTATGAAATATCTGCCTTGTGTTTTAAAGTATCTATAGTTATTTCAAGTGGTATACCTTACAGTACTGTACTGCAGAATCTTGTTTCTCAAAAACTGTAAAAGTTAAAATTATTTTAATGTACTCCAAGCAATAGTAGCAGATAATTTCTGGTAGTACAGGGGATCCCCATTAAAAGTGTCTTCATTGTAAGTGGTTTCACAATTAAGTGGTCAAATAAATGTGAAACTAAATGTAAAAAGTCCCAAAGTTAAGAGGATTCTAAGGCTGGAATCAGTTAATCATTGGAAGCACAAGCGTTTGAGCAATTGTTATTCCTGCCCGCCTATCATTCTCTTAAGTTCACCCTTCTCGCCCGCACTATGCATGCTCAGTACCTGTCCCCTGCATCCACAGGCATTGTTTTGAAGTGCTCCTAGAGCTATAATTATCAACTTTGTTATGGCTTTGGAGACATTGATAGATTATTTTTGTAGTCATCAGTTCCAAACCAAAGCAGGGTGGTGTAGTGGCTAAAAGGAAGCATAGTAGCTATGGGATGGACATGAAATTAGAAGTTATGTCGTCAGAAAAGTGGTGAGCACGTCTCAATGAAACACTTATTGAAATGGTGAGAGTACATGGTTAGGTAGCTTGCGCTGCATCAATACACCGACCCCAAATGACTTTAAATACCTAAAATAAGTTATAAAGTTAAAAAAAATCAGAAAATAGTGTGTAATGAAATGCTTAACAAATGTTTTTGAAGTACAATATATATATATATATATATATATATATATATATATATATATATATATATATATATATATATATATATATATATATATATATATATATATATATATATATATATATATATATATATTAAATTAAACTTTACGAGCGTCACAATGTGATGATCGTGAGTAGACCATATTCCTCTTAATTCTTATGAGAATTAATTCCCCTTTATAAGTGGTTTCATTATCAGTGGCTTTTTTCTGGTCCCTATTAATCACTTATAATGAGGACCCCCTGTATTAAGGTCCGTGTAATCTGTTTGGTACTTTTAAGATACTGTAACTTAATATTTGAAAGCCATAAATTTGCTTGTGTTTATTCCAAAGATGTAATCATCCTTGAAGGACTATTACAGCAACTGTTGCATTTTGACTTTTCTTCAGAATTATCCCTCACAGATTTGTGTTCTTTATATTAAATATATTTTCTATATCAAACAACTAATTAACTGCAAAAAATCAAGCTCAGTAACATTGGCAATTATGAATAACAAAGATACTAAATTCAAAATACTCTTACATAAGAATAATATTTAAATAAGCTAACAAACTGGAGAATAAAATAAGGTAATCAGGAGCAAAATATAATTCAGTTGTTGATAGTGTTCAGTACTACAGATGTAGATATCCCAACCTGGTAAATTTATTACCGGTAATTTTTTAGTTTAGATTTTTGTAATTTTTTATTATCAGTACAGTACATATTTATCAATTTTCTGTGGTTGTTTCAGATGATGGTGGCGGTGGGTGCAACTATGAGCAACAGCATATTACTATCAGAAATCACCTCCTAAAACTGATTGAAAATGAGTTCATACAGCGTTGTCCATCACCACAAGATCCTAGTAAACCAGTACCAATTCTCTCTATTAAGCAAGAAGATCTTTATAAGTAAGGTTGTGAGCTTTTGAATGTACATTTTGTATTAATGTATCAATGTTCAGTTTACTTCAGTCTTGCCAGCTAGGTGGCTAATTTATTTACTTGTAGCACTGTGCCCACAAACATATAAGGTTAGCGTTACTAATGAAATTTATCACTGTCCCACTAATGCTAACTACATTATAATAAAATTTATCACTGTACTACTAATACTAACTACATAATAAAATTTATCACTAATACTAATTACATTATAATAAAATTTATCACTGTACTACTAATGTTAACTGCATTATAATAAAATTTATCACTGTCCCACTAATGCTAAATATTTCAAAAGTTAGCACTGCTGTTGCTAATGCTAATTTTGCCTGCAATTTTTTTCTAAAACCATCTCAGTTTTTATATACTGTACTATATTTAATACGTTTAAACTAGAGTGGAGGTCCTTTCATATATACCAGTAGCTATAAGGAAAACAAACCAATGAAAGAATGAATAAACTGTTTAGTGTATTCATCTATAGGCAATCCAAATACAAAAATTGAAAGAAATTATAAAATTACAGAATAAAATGGATATCACTTAAATAGTGCAGTGGCAAATTACATTAATTTTAAGAAGCTAACAAAAAGGTGATAAGTAGTTTTAATCAATGGCAAACCCTTAAACAATTTTTTTTTTTTCAAATATTGTTTTTCATAAAAAGACTCCGGTTAATAACTACTAGTAAATGAATATGAAAATATCAGTTTTTCATATTTAGTGGTTTGAAACCTTTTCATTTAATGGATAATGAAATCAAGGATTGCGTGTAAAACTTGTAGCAACAAGTTTGAATAAGGTTATTAAAAAATCCTATCTATGATGTTATTGCACTGGTGCATTTACTTCAATTGATTCATAATTCCATGTGATTGCTGGTTATGATTTTTACCCAGCTTGATGCCTGATTTTCAAGTACAGTTGGGTCTCACATTACGCGGTTAATGTAACCCGGAGGGTACCGCGGAAAGTGAGGAACGCGTAAAGTGAACAACATAACATATGGGATTAATTGAAATGGAGTCCAGGCCGATCCCCAAACTCCGCTTTTTGACGACACACAACTATGTTGTAGTAAAAATATTATCTTAACTTTATGATGGCATGCACACACAATTAATAATTAAGAGAAATATCAATAATATTAGGTTTTTTAACACTTACATTAGTAGAAAAGATGGCTGGGCACACGGGGATGGGGGGTTGGTTCCGAGGCAGAGGGCAGATTATTGGCCCTCACCTGTATCACTGGTATCAATTGTATCACTATCCACCACAGAGGCTTGCAGGGCCTCTTTGTTAAACCCCTCAAAGTCCATATAAGTCCATATCCTCACTATAATTATCACTATCACTGACTTGGGCCGGTTGTGGTGGGTGGCGGGTAAAGAACTCGGTAATGCTTTGATGACTGGGCGACCTTGTGCGCACCATTTTCGCACCTCTTACACAACATGGCGGATGGCGGGAGGTTTGGATCCAAAAATGGCGCGGCTTGCCAGCCGCTCTCCGCGTAATGGGGTTCACGACCGCGGAATGTGAGCATGTTAGGTTCTGGCAAGGCACCGTGTTAACGGTGAAACGCGGAATGCGGGACCGCGTAATGTGAGGATTGACTGTACTGTACAGTAAACATTACACAAAATTATGTAGATTTGGTCATATCTATAATCATGGACTATAGGGTTTGTCATAAAGGAGGTCCCTGGGTCAAGTACGTCCTACTTATGAACGTCTGCCGATATGAATGGGGTCCCATAAAGTTAAACTTTAAATTTACAGTATTTTATTTTCCTGATGACTTATTTATTCTTTCATTTACTGTATTTTGTCATTCTATTTCTTCTTTTGTCTTAAATTAAGTTATTTTACATGTATACAATCAATATAAGGACTTAGGCTATGATATAGTGGGATTTTAAACATTGTTCTATAAGTACGGTGTGCACATAGGGTATGCGTTTCAACTTGCATACATTTTTGACTTAAGAATGTCCCCAGGAATCTTACTTTTAACTTTGGTCATCCTCACCACTGATCGGCTCGTTAGCCGCTTGGACGGTCGGTCACATCTGTTACACACTGTTGGCAAGTACTGGGTATGCACTACCTCCTGAATGTATCTGAACCTGCTCCAGTGTTTGTCAAGTCTGGTCTTAAAAGAGCTCACACTCTCTGGCAGGTAGTTCCAAGAGTTCACAATTCTCACACCGAAAAAGTTTGCCCTCACAGTTTTCTGGACTTAAGGCTTTTTCAACCTTGAGCTGTGACCCCTTGTGGGACGGGCATCGACCAGCTCCAAGTATGGACTGAGAAGTACCCTCCGAGAAGTTTGTACATCTCAATTAGGTCCTCCCTTGCCCATCTGTAGTATAAGCTAGGCAGTTGCAGTCACTCTAATCTCTCTAGATGACTGAGGTGCCAAAATGCACGCACCAGTCTGGTGGCCCTCCTTCGGACATTTTCAATCAACTGAATCTCTAGCATATCTTCGGGATCAGACGGGTTGACAGTACTCCAGGCGGGGAAGCACCGCACTCTTGAAGATCATTATGAAGGACGGACCATCTCGATATCTGAACGACCTTCTTATAAGACCAACTGGTTTAATTACTTGAATCACTTTCTTCTCACAATGGCCCCAAAACTTTATTTCATTGTTAACATGCCTATTAATGCAGTTTCTTCATCCTCTGGGACATGTGATACGCCAGGGACTGCCTGTATACTGTACTGCAAATTGTAATTTATCATAATAGGTTATATAAACCAATACTCCATCTTGGCAGAGATATGAACCTATGACCATTTGCTTATGAGGCTTATTCTCTACCAATGAGTTAGTCACATTGTGAATATTACTTTACAGTATTTCATGTACTGTACTTCATTATAAATACAGACTGAACTGCATTTCATTGTTTTAAGGTTTGAACAATAGTACTGTATTGCAATTATTGATTTTTGTCTTTCAGTCTACCTCAAGATTTACTTGATCTGAAGGCCCTTCAGCAGGAGATCCAACATCGCCATACAGAAACTACCAAACCAACATTCACCCATCCTGACACTAATGTATTTTGGAGACTCAACTATGATAGATTCCATATTGAATTTAGGTTGGTAACCAGTGTGTGTTTAATTATAAATATAAAAATATCACTTGGGAGTTTTTTCTAAGGTTTGCTACTACAAAAGTGCAATGACTGGTTATTTAAAAAGAAAATTTGCTATTAGGTGATTGTAAGAAGTACAGTTTCATCTGCTAATGGTTTTATTTTTACAATTAAAGTGCCAGTTATGAACAGATGCCCTCACATCGAGTCCAGGCCTTTTAGAGAGAAATTAAAAATAAGAGAATAGTATAAAAGTTTTTAGAAGCTGGAAAATTTTTATTCCAAGAATGACAGATTGTAGGTGAGAAGAGGTAAATATTTCCACTGTTTAGTTGCATAAGGAAAGGAAGAGGCTTTACAATGACCCACCCTTGAATTGCTAATAGACACCCAATATCAAGTGTTGTGTTAAGAGTGTCTTATTGAGTTTTTTTTGTTGCTTACTTGATGGTGGGGGATAGATGCAGCCAACTCATGGGAGCAGAAACTATAAGAAATGAAAGGGATAATTAATAAGGTGAATTACTTTAAGAAGAGTCGGCTCTGGGACAGAAGTGTGTGGTGATAAAGCTTCAACAAATGTGAAAGCAATACTGTATGGTTTATTGTACATTTATCCCCCTATTTACAATGGGGTTACATTCCTGAAAACCTATTGCTGGTCTAATTACCATAAACTAGGATCATTATAACATGGAGTTCAATCAGATACATTCCCAGCCAATCCAACACCTACTTGTATCACTAAAATAAATTCCTTCACTAGTACACTTTCAACAAAATTAAACAACACTCACCACATCATTAAGAACAACCCTGGTCATCATCACATGTCCCCTTTGAGGCTAAGGGGACTCTTGAAGGTGGAATGGAGACAACACTGACTCCCACACAACCTCCAGGCAGTCTCCTGCCGCTTTACACGTCAAGCTTCACCTCCAGACACGGTTTTTCTTCGTGCCCTGACTGCCTTCCCACACTTTCAAAGTTACACTGCTCACTTCACAGTCACAAAACAGAGTGAAAACACTGCTCATATCATGTTCACAACAGAGGCAAAGCACTTGCAGTTACAAAAATCAAAGCAAAAATCACTTCACAAACACCAAAACAGACTACAATGTGAACAGTAGTGATGTCCTTTTATTGTAAGGTAAAAAACAAAAAACAAAACCCCAATAATTTATAATCTCTGATCTACATGATCAATGCCATGTGCGGCCACCATGGAACAAATCACAGTATTGTAATGCACCAAGTGGCCACGTGTGGATAGACCGCACTTAACAAATGCACCAAAAGATGCGTCCGCATTGGTCGAGCAATGACCGCCGTTAATGCAGATTGTTTATATGGTAAATGGGGTGGTTTTAATACATCACCACCGTTAAAGCGGAATATCGTAGATAGGGAGATCGTAAACCTGGGGTTACTTGTGCAAGAATGAGTCAGTTCTGTGCATAATTAAAGTATTTTTCAAGTAAGAAATATCATTCATCAGAACGATATTCCATATTTTTTTTTTTTTTCTTTTAGTCAAATTCAGCTATTGAGTTTTATGGGGTTTCCAGGTAGGTTAAAAATTATATTGATGTTAAGTATATTTATTATGTTCAGTTGTGAAATTAATAAACTAGCTATCAAAGGAGACGAGAAGTCACGAAAAACTTTAGAGATTAATCGGAATAAATTTAGTATTAGGAGCAGTAAAAGCAATTTTTGTTATCTCAGAAAATATACAGTATTCTTAACAAATATGACATTACCTGTATTGGCATTGGACCACTCCTTATTTATCAACAATATTTTTTAATGAATGTTAGGGATTATGGGGAAACTTTCGTCGTGGCCTTCGACATCTCCAAGGCATTTGACAGGGTATGGCACAAGTCTTTGCTTTCTAAACTTCTCTCTTATGGTTTCTCTCCCCCATTTTGTTCTTATTTCTAGCTTCCTTGAGAACCGATCCATGGCAGTTATTGTCGAGGAATCGATCTCTAACTCTCTCTACCAATAGTGGTGTCCCACAGGGTTCTGTTCTTTCACCTACTCTTTTCCTTCTTTTTTTCAATGAATGACTTCATACTACAACTAATCCTATCCATTCTTAAGCTGATGATTCTACTCTTCACTCTTTTTCACATTTTCCCATTCCCCCTAATTCTCAAACTAGATCTGTTTCTAGAACTGATATCATCACATCTATCAGTGTGGATCTGTGCAGCATCTCCGAATGGGGAGGTAGTAACTTGGTTAAATTCAATAATAATAAAACTCAGTACAGTATTTACCAATTACACTTTCCAAATTAGATGATCTCCTACCAATCACATTTCAGGATGCAATCATTCTGCATATCTAAATTAGATATGCTAGGCCACACCATTTCTTCTAATATATTATGGAAGCCACACATCCACAACATTGCTAAAACTGCCTCCCGAAAGCTGGGAATGCTGTACAGATGCCGTAGCCGCTTCACTCCTGAGTAGTTGCTTCAAGTATATAAGGGATTCATTCGTCCTAACTTGGAGTACTTTTCTCATATGTGGGGTGGCTCTTCTTCTGTCCAACTGTTAGATAGGGTGGAATCAAAGGCATTTCGTCTTATTAACTCTCCTCCTTTTGTTGATAATCTTTCTTCTTTTTCTATTCACCGCAATGTTGCTTCACTGTCTCTTTTACGGGTACTTTAACAGGCAATGTTCGGTGGATTTGGCATCCTGTGTACTGCCGGCAAGGCCATGGGCTCGTAACACTCATCTTGCCTATGGTGCCCACCATTTCTCTGTGGATGTCGGTCACACTAGAATAACCCGTTATAGTACCTCCTTCTTTCCTCACACAAACAACTGTAGAATGCTCTGCTTTCTTCTGTGTTTCCATACTCCTACAATCTGTCTCGCTTCAAAAAGTTGGTTTTCCAGCATCTTCGTGGTGTAGATTAATAAAATCTTTCTTTTCTATTTTTAATCTCTTTTTCTCTTATTTTTACTCCCATTAGGCCCCATTGTGAGTTGACCTGTGCCCGGGTGGGCTATTCCCCGTAAAGAAAGAAAGAAAATAATAATAATAAATATTTTATTTCATTTATTACTCTGTGCCCTTTTTTCAATTTTATTTGAAAGCAGTGTCATTTGCCAGTCCATTGGAATCAATTTATGAACAAATGCTATTCCAAAGCATAGAAATTTGAATTATTGGAATTATAATAGACATTTCTTTTACAGTAGATAAGAATGGTTCTTTACTAAGTTTGGGAAATTGCAGGGACAGTGAAATTCGCAACAGCATTGTGAGACGAGTAGACCCCTTAGCAGGAGAGTGTCTTGGTGCTATGTTGAAATTGTCATACAAGGTGTCAGATCCTTGGGCTGCCATCATGAATGTTGTTACTGCAGCAGACATCAGGGATCAGCTCAAAGATCTAAAGTACCTTGATCAGTATTTCAAAATATTAGGTAAGTTATATTTGGATTATTCTTAGTGAGAGTAATTACTTTAAAAATATTTAAAGTTTTCTTTAGCATTGAATCTAGCTTAAATCACTGATACAGCATTAATAACACATGTTAATTAAACTTTTATTGTTATTTCTTCTGTCAGTTACCAATGGCTGAACAAACATACCAGTAACAGTTTTGCATTACATCTTCAAAAATTATATACTGTACTGTATATAATAAGTAATATTGTTAGTGTTTTGCCACATGTTTTGTTTATTTCTTATATATTGTGTATGGCACAATTAAGCCCATCGTTTCTTGTACATTACTTATTCTGTGATGTGCAGTAAATGTGTTTAGCAAATAGAAAATGACAAAATTCTACCAATGAGAAGGACAAAGGATAAAAGATTGTACAAAACAGTTGGTTCATACACAATGAGCTTAGATAGTGCATTGGGAGAGAAGGAACGATAAACTACTAGAATATGGTATTTTGATGAGAGGGCATGAAAATGTGAAAAGGATTCTGGTGTGCTTCTAAAATATTTAGTGGGATAATTGATATGACAAACTAAGCAGTGGAAAGGGGACAGATAGGGAATGGATAAAGTGTACTGTATTGTATATTGTTTGACGAGAGGTAATGCTTGGTGGCATAGAGGTAAATAAGTGGATAGAGGAGTAAATACGAACTCGGCATATTTTATGTTTTCCAGAGGAACAGAGTGGAGAATGTGTGCAGCGGGTTGGTGACGCCGGTGGTGGTCAGTACAGGCTCAATATGGCTAATGCATTCCAGTCCCTTACACACACTCTCATCTACAATATAGTGCAAGAAAGATTTGGCTCCAAAGCAGCTCGTATTTTTAGGTTAGTTTTACATGTACAGTAGATAAAAAGAAGTACCTGCATATTCTGTGTGAAAATACTATGAGACCACGGACAATAGGTATTGGGATTGTGTGTTGTCTCATTATACTATGTGATAGTGTTCCCCCTAACTGTTTATTTTATTCCTATATGGCAACCCGCTCTGTGTTGGATACTAAATGGCAGTGGGTGAAGACATGCATGCCCCCAGTTGTAGATATAATTTTGGAAGTCATTGGACTCACTCTGTCAATATTTTGTTTAGCTACTGTACAATATAATACATGGTACCATACACATTTAGAGTTTAATTTGTGAAAACCAAACAGAAGATTTGTATTGTTATATTTAGCACTTTTTAATAGGTATGCAGAGTTACTCTGAATAATGAATAGAAAAGAGGGGGGGGGGGTAATTTTTCAACAAAACGCTCATAAGATTAAATGATAGTTGGAAAGAGAAAAGATGACTTCCTTTTGTCCTTCATGATAGTGCTTCCTATGATGGACGAGACTCATACTCTACTACTCCGTATGACCTGCTTTCTTGTTGTCTTGTATCCACTATAGTTTACTGTTTTTCTTTGTTCCCTTTGTAAGCTAAACACATTATCCTTTTCCTTATTATAGCATCTTTTAGACTTTTATATTACTCTTGGTCTTCATAATTTCTCCTAATCCTGTTCCCCCGTTTTGGAAAATCCATCTTGGTCTTTTTCAATGTACTGTACTATTCATCCTCTGAACACCCTGTTTGACTGCAATTGAATGAATTATCAATACTGTACTGTACTATAGTATTTCCAAGCTAACCTGGCCCATATGCCACACCCCTTTTCTATACTAATACTGTAGCTGATTGGTTCATAGAAAATTCAAACTAAATCTGTTCACAATTGGTAAGCAGACCTGTAAGTATTACCTAATATAATGTTAAATATCAGAACTATCAAAATGCAAATGATTTCAAGGCATTAGCACTTCAGAGAGGTTGTTAGAAAATTTTAAATATTTATCATAAAAGGTCGACAGAAATACGACTGGGGGGGGGAGGTAAAATGCTCAGGGGAACCAATCAGCAATTTGTAGCTATAGACGAGGGGTTTGGCTTATGGGCCAGGTTAGTGTGGAAAGGGTATAATAAATGTGGCGTTCAACTTCTATCAATGTCTGGAGTGGGCCCAACTCGCGCTCTCCCGCATGACAGACACCACCCAGTAACACAATAAATTTTGTGTATGTTCGTAAAAAGTATTGTGCTAAAAAGTAAAACTTGTAAAGTGAAATAAATAGTCCCATAGGAAAACATGTAAAATGTGAGGGTTGCCTGTTTGAAAAAGATTATGTGTAACAAATATTTAGTTCTGCATTTTTTGCTTAATACAATACCTGTACTGTATTTATGAATGGAGGTAAATAAGATAAAAACTAGTAATACAAATGCTCTACAGTTAAAGCTAAAAAATCCAAGTGAAAACTCCTTAATGCTCAGTGTTAAATTTCTAGGGTTCACATATTTAAATAGTTATTGATCATTTAGGCTCTGTACTTGATTTACATGTTTAAATTAATGGTATTCACTTGTTTAAATCAATTAAAGCAGAATTACTTAGGTCACTTTAATAGTAACTTACTGTTAGCGAGAGACAGCTTTCAGAAAAAGTTTAGTGGAAAGAGAACCGTCATTTATTTTGAATATTAAGTTAATCACAGCTGCATGTATTCATTAGTTTAGGTTAAAGTATTATTAATTATGTTCACCTTTGCAGATTAATTCATAAAAAGCAAATGATGGAGCAGGATATGATTGGAGAAGTTAGCATGATTGGTAAAAAGGAAGCAAACCTGCTCTCATATCGCCTACTCCATGATAACTTCCTACGCATACACGAGCTCCGTAAAACACTGACTCCATCACCTGCAAACAAAATCATTTATCTCTTTCATGTTGATATAAATTCAGTAAGTAAATGGGATATATTAGATTTTTTTTTTTTTAACCAGGCAAAGTATTGACTCTTCAGTATCTTTTTTACATAACTTAACTTAACAACTAAAAGCACAGTTTTAACATCAAGTGATTTATTGTTATCCTTCATGATGAGTGGATTCATAAGTAAAACTTGTTGGTACTGTACTGTATTATCTGAATCATTGTTCATGCTTTCATTAGAGGGTGTGAGGATGGATAAAATTATGTTGAAGGAAATAATTGCAAATAAAGGGGAAATGTAGATATGTATTGATAGGGATGTAGGTAGGATGGTGACTAAAATTGGCTGGATTGTAGGAAAAGCAGTGTACCTCTATTTTGATAGATATGAGTGGATGAGTAACATGATATTTACTGTGAACTGGTTTTGTGTCCAACCAATATTATCCAACATATTGACTTTGTACATTACACCATGAACTTCAGATAATAGTACCGTTAATTCTTCTTTTAGGTTGTACGTATGGTACTCGAGTGGTGTTATAAAAGTATGTATAACCTGATAGTGCAGAGAGAAACAAGGGGTACCGACAACCGCCGCTTGTTAGAGAAACGGACCAGGGTGGACTCTATTGTGGAAAACCTGAAGCAGTCAGGAGGTACTGAGGAACAAATTCAGGAGGTGAGCAATTTTTAATGTAGGCTGTTGTAGGTAACTACAATTACTATTAAGGGCTATGATTCATTCTAGATATATTATGATAATTATAGTAGATAAAATGTATTTTAAAATTCTTGGCTTCTGGCTATTCTTTAAGTGCCTACAAATAGGATTATACAGTGTAGTGCAGCGCTTCTCAAACTATCTGATGTGGCGGACCGGCATGGTTTTTTTTCAATGTGCCACGGACCGGCGAGCGAAGCGAGCCAATCCCGGGGCCTATAGGCCCCCCCCCCCCAGGAAAATCTTTTGAGATATGTCCTATTTCAGGGGCATTTTGAGACTATCTGTACTAAACATGAAGACATGATGTCTTATTCATTCTAAGGCCAATCATCATTGACGTAACAAGTCTTCCCAGTGTGCCAGGAACCAGTACCATATTTGTGCCATACAATTAATTGTTTACGATCAGAGAAAATATTATTTGAACATTCGTAGTAATATTATTTTATACAGGAAAAATATAATGAATATAAAAGTTGACATTTTTTATTTTATATTGATTTTGTAAACAACTTAACACAGTAATAACAATTAACACAATAACAATAATATTCATGTCAAAACCTTAACCTTTACTAATGTGAAAAGTGAGCCTGCTTCTTCTTTGTCAGCTTATCCAATCGTGGTTCAATTGAGGACAGTGCCACGCGCAATGGAGAATGAACATCCATACAATTCCTGTATTTTGTCTTAATGACACTCATTGTTGAGAAGCCAGTCTCGCAGAGTTAGGTTGAAGGAAAGGGGAGAAGAGTTTTCAGAGCAATTTCACTAAGCTCAGGATATTCTGCTTTCTCTTTTATCCAAAAAGATGCAAGTGATGTTGAAGTTTCGAAACTTATCTTCAATCCTTCGTCAGCAGCCAGCTCCAACAATTTATCCTCCATAGTGACACTTAAGAAAAAGTCATCTCTCAGTGGCATAAACGGATTTCGGATCCATCCAGTCCCTTTCCGTGGATCTTCTTCTGCTGGAAAGTAATGCTTAAAACGATCTGCCAAATTATTCAAGTGTTCTTTGATGACATTTTGCAGAGACACAACATTAAGGTCTTCGCCTGCTTCAACTATGACTGTTGCCAATTGGTGAAACATGTCATAACAATCTCTTGACACTCGACTCTTCCATGCTTCTAGCTTCCGTTTTTGCCCGTCGAACTTGTCTGCCATTGTAAAACACGATGCCATCCTTCCCTGCATGGAGGTGTTGAGATCATTAAAGATGGCAAAGATATCAGCCAAATAAGCCAGCTTGGCTAGCCAATCCACTTCTCGGAACAATTGTGACCAATTTGGTTTTTTGTCCTGAAGAAACTCGGCAAGTTCGTTTCGTAGCTCAAACACTCTTGACAGAACTTTTCCCCTCGATAACCAACGTACATCGGCATGCAATAGGAGCAGTATTAAAATGTTCTTAGTAATAACATTAATAGAGTAACTAATGTTAGGATAAGGAGGTTATTATAACATATAAAATTATATTACAAACAGGATAAAAATTGGAATGTTAAGGCCGGTCCACAATAATTTTTTTTTTTTCAATTTACACAGGAATAGTGTGAACCGGCCTTTAAGATTATTAGTACTTACATTTTCAGATCAGTGGGTTGGGATGGGGTCCCAAATGACAAACACTCAGATACCCGTATGATGCTCTCTGTTCCACTTCTTGATGGTAACTAACCACTGACCTGTGACCTGACATCACAGACTGCTGATCCACACGTGTGGAATAGCAGGGTTGCCAGCTGTGTGACACCCTTCACGGCTGGCACGCATAGTAAAAAATCGGCCATTTCTTTTAATGGGATGCATACATTTATTTTATCCGAAATTAAATAACTACCATACTTAAAATAAAAAGATTTATGTTTTGGGTGGATATGGCGTAACTGGTGGCCGAGAAACGTGGCAATTCTGGCAACACAAGGTGATGCGCCCTATTGATATCCCCAGGTGTGGTTCCCACAGAGTCAAACGCCACATCATCATGAAGGTGTTGTTATACGTATTTCAGTTCGCTGTTTTGTTGTTCATTATATCACATTCGTTAGTTGCATAGCAATGGCTTTTAACATGAGTGAGTAAATGAAAAATATAGCCATAATAAATATAAAAACTACAATGAAAATGTAAAAAAAAAAAAAAAGACCGAGTCAGATGTCCCGGCAGTGTCCCGGACCACACTTTGAGTAGCACTGGTGTAGTGCATGAAAAAAATATCCTTATTTCGTATCTTTCTAGTACAGTATTCCCCAAATATTGATTTTGATGTTGTGACCATATCAATATACAGAAGTCTTAAGTGTGTATACATAAGCAGTGTTATGCTTCATCACTTATATTTATGAATAAAAAAGGTACATGGGGATTATTTTATGTTGGTCATCATGCTTTGAATAACCGTTAAGGGTCATATTATATAGTGTAGAATCATCCCACAAGTTGTGTGTTCAATTGAATCTTAAATTTTTTTACTATAATGTGTATGACAATTTTCTTTTTACACATTTGAACGTGTTCATGTACGTGTTCACAAGTTTTATGGATCATTTTCAGGTTGAAGAGATGATGACTCCCAGTGAACGTGCTCTTGTGGAGCAAGTGCTCTCAACTCAGGACAAACTGTTCGATTCTGAAACAGGCCTTGATGAAACAATATTCATCCTCCAAATGTACCTTTACTACCAAGTTCAAAAAACATAAATGGTGTATTTTTTTTTTTTTTTAATTACAGTATTGATTATTTCATATTGATTTATGTATTATAAGAAACATACAATACAGTAGAGAATGTCAAGTGCGTATAATTCTTACTTTTTAGATGGCAAAACAAGTTATTGGTGGTGAAGTACACAAAAAAACCTGAAAATATTTAGGAAAGGCGGGATGCAGACACTGTACTGTATAATACGTTTATGAAAAATTTGTGAATCCGCGAAGTATAATAATTACAGTATGTAGATATTTTCCATGATTATATCACAGTAAGTCATTGGTTTACACTGGAAGGTGTTCTTAGAAAATGTAACATAAATAGGACTACCGTAATGTAAATAAGTAATTTTTCCCATAGGCACAACGTAATACTGTACTGTAATTAGGAGTTGCATTCCCAAGGACACCTTACTAACCAAACTTAACTAAATATTATGGACATTATTAAACAAATCAATACAAAACTCAAATTATGTGCATAAATAGACAATTAAAAGAACACAAGTTCAAGGATACACCTTCTTGATGGGTGTATTTGCCAGATGTTTTCCACTCATGGTTTAAGGACTTTTGAGAGATACAGTAAAACCTTAATAAACCAGACTAATTGGAGTAGACCCCAGTCTGGAAAATGCAGGAGTCCAAAAAAGGACATTCTATGGGGGTCTGGACATAACCCTGCTTATCTGGACTGCTTCTGGAAAATCAGACACGAGTCTGGTTGTTAACTGTTTTCACCGATATGACTGTTTCATACTGTAAAGTGTTTACCAATAATATAAATAGTTGAAGTGCTTCTTCATGTGTACTGGTTAGGAATGTGTCACCAACCAGGGCTGCCCCATCATACTCACCCATGGCGAGTGGAAAAAAGCAAATTCCGGTATATCGAAGTCTGATTTATCGAGGTTTTACTGTACTTCTAGACTGGCCAGACACATGCAAGTGAAACAAATTCAGCAGCTGTGGGAAGTGATACTACAGATACAGTACATGGATTGTTCAACTGGTGGCAATGTTGCCACACAATGCTGTTTTTGATGTGCAGTGAATTAATTTAGCACTTGTCATGGCAAAAATTATATTACAGTACAGAGTACATCAGATAGATACAACTTGTGCTGAATATTGTTCCCCAAATTTTTAATGATGCATTATTAAAACAAATGAAATAAAACTGAAATAAATTGCTGACTTTCTGTACTTCTCTTCTATGACCATTTGTAGTGAGTGAATTTGTTTATTTTTCTAATATTCCTAAACTTTTTATTTTATTTTTTGACACGAGACAATACACCAGTTATATTCTGTACAAGCAATTGTTTTATATCTTGAGGTGAATCTGGGGGTCTCTAAATTTGTTAGTGTGTGTTCATGAAGTATGATTACTGTACTATGTTTTAATCTCTAAATTTAGATATACAGTCTCAACCACTTACGACATATTCGACTTACAACAACCCGGACATACGACGGCCATGGTTGTATAAAATATTTTTCACATTACGTATTTTCGAGCCCGATGTTAGTGATCATGCTGTGTACTGACAAAATTTTCATTTGTAATTCCCCTTAAAATGGCTGGCAAGCATAAAAGTGAGAGTTCCCATGGTGCCGAGAAGAAAAAGACACCCATTTTAGAATTTCTATGTATTATTTTCGCCTTTTCGACTTAAAACCTGGTCGTCGGGACGGATCCCCGTCGTAAGTCGAGGAGAGACTGTATGTTAAGCAATGTGTTTTTCTTGTAATTTTTGCAATTACTGTACTGTTTTTACAAAGGATATATCATTATTTCATTGAGTATAAAAAAGTTTATTGCAGTACTTTTTGCAAATCAAGATTGACTAAACGTATTTTGTTTTCATTTTGATTATTCCATCATCGTGGCTATCTTGGACATTTGGAGCTGACTGGAGTATATAGATCATGCACAAGCATTTTAGTTACTGAACATCTCCATCCTGTCAATAATTAACTCCTTGAGTCAGAGGGACTTAAGTGGTACATCCTCTTACACTGAAGTATCACATCAGAAGGACATATCTGATACCTCCCTTTAATCTCTATGATGGTAGGAAAAGCTGGAGGTTGAAATTGCTCTGATAATGGCACTATCTTACCTATTTACCTAATGGATGCCCACTAGAGGTGGCCATGCTGAGGAAAGGAGAACAGTGTCCTGTGTAGGATCCCTCCATTGTTCTTGATAATTTTGTCAAGGGCTATTTTGAAGATTAGTACTGGTCTTTATTTTTAAGCCACCTTCAATCAATCAGAGTACCCCTGTACTGTGTTCATAGCTGAGGGTTGGCGACCACAGACCTCCACTCTAAATGTGTTTGGGCTGTTTTTACCAAATCTCTCTGCCTAAGGTTTTGTTTCTCTGGGTACCCAGGTTTTAATTTCATTCTGGCCCTCCTACCCTCAACTTTGCCCACTAATATTTCTGTTATTATCCCCTCATCCCTAATTATATGACCAAAGTATCTTTTTTCTTTTTCTGTACATTTCAAATATTTCTCTTGAAGTTTTTGCTAACCTTAGTATACTTCATTTGTTTTTCCTTACACCACCTCCCTCTCTGCCTGCCTGCCTGCCAAATCCTTTTTCCTTTCTAAACTCATTTTGCTCTTCAGATAATTCACTTAATATTCTAAGCTTTATTTTAATTAAAATTATGTATCATAAAACTTTGCAGGCATGACTTATAAAGCTCATTGTTCTAAACAGGGTAGACTGTAAGGCTCCCGGCTTTATAGGTAATAATGCAAATATTGATTTTATTTTATCACTGGGAAGGTCTCCTTTTAAGTGCACTACAGTACAGGAATATAGAATTACATATTTTAGTCAAACATTTTATCCCATTCTTGCCCAATTGTGTTATAAATTCTGCTGGAAGCTGACAAACCCAGAAGATTTATCATTTTCCATTTTGCTCACAGTTGCTTCAACTTCTGTGTCATACTCTGCTCCTGTCTATTTTACTACTTCTGCTTCAAATAGGATCTTATTGTCTGCTTTTACTTTTCCTTTTTTTTTGTTTACATATATCCTCTTCACCACTGATCGGCTCGTTAGCCGCTTGGGCGATCGGTCACGTCTCTTATTCACTGTTGGAAAGTACTGGGCATGCACTGGCTCCTGAATGTATCTGAACCTGCTCCAGTGTTGGTCAAGTTTGGTCTTTAAAGAGCTCATACTCGGTGCCATCACAACACTCTTTGGCAGGTTGTTCCAAGAGTTCACAATTCTCACTCCGAAAAAGTGTGCCCTCACAGTTTTCTGGACTTGCGATTTCTTTAACCTTGAGCTGTGACCCCTTGTGGGACGAGCACCCGCCAGCTCGAGGTATGGACATTCGACCGAGTAGTGCCCTTTGAGATGTTTATACAAAATATACACCTCAATTAGGTCCCCCCTTGCCCAAATAGTCCCACCCCATTTACATATTTCCTTTTTCTTGGTTCATTTGTTTAGTCCTTCTGTACATATCCCTATAATTATGCCTTCAGTCATCATCTTTAATCTCCTTGCATTTCCTATCTAAATAATATTTCTTGTAATACACAGTATTGTAGGTACATATATTAAATCTATGAACTTGATCTTTTACCAGAAATTAATTTTGTTTACCTAATTTCAACATTTAATATTTATGAATGGAAGAACATTAACTTTTATGTATAGTTCAGTATGCCACTGAAAACTTGTATATATTATTGAAGGCTATAAATAACCCTAAAACAAATGATACTATGGTATTTAGTACTCGGTATGCACAAGTTGCACCTGATAAGAGATTGTGTGATTGATGCATCTGGTCACTGGGAATTAGCAGGTGTGGGTCCTGAGGACACAGCCACACAACCTCTTACATCTGATAAAAAAAACTAACTTGTAAAGAATAATCAACCATATCCATAGTGAAGTGAGTACACGGAGGGCTGAGGAAAGAAGAAGCAAAAGTATTAATACAGTAGAGGCAAAACAATGTGTGCAAGTGTACAGCACATATGCCTACAGGACCCATGCAGTCTCCTGCCCTATCCTTCCCCACTGCAGGATTCTCTATACTGGCACCCCTCTCAGTCATGCTAAGTTTCACTTAAAAGGTCTCCTCAAAATGCCTGAAGCAATGAGCCACAAACGGCAGGTCACTGTAAAATCACAGCTCTCATTCCGAGTTGATTTTTCTCTAATTGCTGCCTAAAAAATTTATTTCTTTGTAATGACCAGATATTTGTAGGTTTTTCTTTACAGTAATGTCCATATACTATATTACACTGTATTCACTCGCGTATCTTTTGACCAGCGTGTGAAAAACCTTGCCCCATCTTACATATAGGTCAGTATGTATAAGCTGCCTTAAATCTCTGTCAGGTACTTGCTCACTTTTCTAGCCTGTTCAAAATACGATCCTCTTTTCTGAATATATAATCTACTCGCTGCATAACTCATCTTTACTTTACTGATGGGTAACCTTTTAAATCCTCCTACCTTTCATTTAAACTTGTACGTATAGTGTACAGTCAAGAAATAATTCATTTTTGTACTCACTCCTTAACAATCTCTACATTTCATAATTTCTTAACCTCTTGCTTCTAATCAAATATCTTCTGCACCTTATGCATTTGTCTCTCCAGGTAAATTTCTTTACTACAGTTCTCCTGAAGGTTTGGGACTGAAGTTCTGGGACCATTGTGAAAAGAAGGTGAATCAAACAACAATACAAGTAGTTTTTATAAGAAGGGCGATCAGATGCTTAACAGTCGGTCCCTCGTAACACTACAAAAGTGACGTGCTTCCCTGTTTGGAGTATACCGTCATTTTGTTTGCTCCCAAAATATGCTAGGGACTGTCAGTCGATTGAAAATGTTAAAAGGAGGGGCACCAGACTGGTGCCTGCACTACGGCACCTCAGGTACCCAGAGAGATTAGAACACCTGCACTTGCCTGGCTTATACTATAGGCAGGCAAGGGGTGACTTAATTGAAGTTTGTAAACATTTCAGAAAGCACTAATTGGTTGAGTTTTCATACCTGGAGCAGGCAGATGCCCACCCCACTAGGAGTCGCAGCTTAAGGTTGAAGAAGCCCGAAGTTCAGAAAACTCAGGGCAAACTTTCACGGAGTCATTACTTGTCAGCAATGTGACTGACTGCCCAAGCGGCTAGCAAGCCAATCAGTGGCGAAGAGATTAAGTAAATTTGACAGTGACCTAACGTCATGTGAGTAGCTCCAACCATAGACCTATAGTACAAAATTAATTAAGTCACAATTTGTGTTGATAAGGAATGTGACTCCTTTGAGATGCAGATTTGTATCCTCAATAAAACCGAATCACTATTACTGTAAGTACGGCATTGCAGCCGACATTACGTAAGAACATAAGAATGAAGGAAATTGAAGCAGCCCTATTTACACTCGACTCTTATTACTCACATATCTGACAGTAAATGTGTGCTATAGGGCTGACACGGAGGAGGAAGTTGGAGATCTTCGTATTCATCCAGACAGCACGGAAGAACATAGTCTACTTATTAACCAATGCTACTTGAAAGAAATTGGAAATGGATCAAAACCCATACGTGATTTGATTCTAACTATGATTTTCATCATTTATACATAGAATAAGTTTCATAACCTATTGCACCAAAAGAATAAAAAAAATAGAAGGGAGAAATGAATCCACGCCAAATTACCTAAATAATCCAGCCTCTCATTTCGTAGAAACTCTTGAGACAATTTTCTTTTCCAACAGGTTAAAGATCCGACTCACTACAGAGGGGAACAAACACCCAAACCACTGGACCTCATCATAAGTAACGAGGAGGGGAGTAGGCAGCCTGGGAATATATTGGAAGCATAATATGTTGTCTAATGGTAGACCCTGCTGCCATATGACATCACGAAAATTGTGACCAAGTCCCAGAATGCTGATCTGACTTAATGCCTCATTTACACACAATTGCAGGGTCTCAATTGTTTCTCTTACTTTGACAACACAACATACATATATATAGTTTCTCACTACAGGTATTGATTTCTTTTTTTTTATTTAATTATGGTCCTTTATTATTATTATTATATTTTCGTCCCCAGACCCTGATGCGGGTCACTGATCTGTGTGCCCCGGTGAGCTAATCCCATAAAAAAAAATCTGGAACACCCAGCCTCAGTTG